GTCCACACCCCACCAGGCACAGGATCCTCGTGGTGAGTTAAGAGAGAGGCTGACCCCTGTGGGGGAAGGACAGCCCTCCTAACAGAGATGCTGACCCTTGTGGGTGGGAGCACAGCCCACGTAAGAGAGATGCTGACCCTGTCGGGGAAGGACAGCCCTCCTAAGAGAGATGCTGACCCCTGTGGATGGAGGACATCCCTCCTAAGAGAGATGCTGACCCTTGTGTGGGGAGGACGGCCCTCCTAAGAGAGATGCTGACCCCTGTGTGGGGAGGACGGCCCTCCTAAGAGAGATGCTGACCCCTGTGTGGGGCGGACGGACCTCCTAAGAGAGATGCTGACCCTGTTGGGGGAGGACAGCCCTCCTAAGAGAGAGGCTGACCCCTGTGGATGGAGGACATCCCTCCTAAGAAAGATGCTGACCCTTGCGGGTGGGAGGACAGCCTTTCTAAGAGAAATGCTGACCCCTGTGTGGGGAGGACATCCCTCCTAAGAGAGATGCTGACCCCTGTGTGGGGAGAACGGCCCTCCTAAGAGAGATGCTGACCCCTGTGTGGGGCAGACAGCCCTCCTAAGAGAGATGCTGACCCCTGTGTGGGGAGGACGGCCCTCCTAAGAGAGATGCTGACCCCTGTGGGGGAAGGACAGCCCTCCTAAGAGAGATGCTGACCCCTCTGGATGGAGGACAGCCTTCCTAAGAGAGATGCTGACCCCTGTGGATGGAGGACAGCCCTCCTAAGAGAGTTGCTGACCCCTGTGGGGGAAGGACAGCCTTCCTAAGAGAGATGCTGACCCCTGTGGGGGGAGGACAGCCCTCCTAAGAGAGATGCTGACCCCTGTGGAGGGAGGACAGCCTTCCTAAGAGAGATGCTGACCCCTGTGTGGGGAGGACGGCCCTCCTAAGAGCGATGCTGACCCTGTGGGGGGGGAGGACGGCCTTCCTAAGAGAGATGGTGACCCTGTGGGTGGAGGACAGCCTTCCTAAGAGAGATGCTGACCCTGTTGGGGGAGGACAGCCCTCCTAAGAGAGAGGCTGACCCCTGTGGATGGAGGACATCCCTCCTAAGAGAGATGCTGACCCATGTGGGTGGGAGGACATCCCTCCTAAGAGAGATGCTGACCCATGTGGGTGGGAGGACAGCCCTCCTAAGAGAGATGCTGACCCTGTGGAGGGAGGACAGCCCCCCTAAGAGAGATGCTGACCCTGTGGAGGGAGGACAGCCCTCCTAAGAGAGATGCTGACCCCTGTGGGGGGAGGACAGCCCTCCTACGAGAGATGCTGACCCTGTGGGTGGGAGGACAGCCCTCCTAAGAGAGATGCTGACCCCTGTGTGGGGTGGACAGCCCTCCTAAGAGAGATGCTGACCCCTGTGGGTGGGAGGACAGCCCTCCTAAGCACAGACCTGCTGAGCTGACCTAGTTCCTTGACTCTGCACCCAGATACTGGGTTGTCTCTCCCCTCCCTCAGTGGTACCCCAGAGTGGTGCTTCTCAGCTCCCAGAATGCCAGGATGAGGGCAGTGTTCCTTGTTGCCATGCAGATTTAACCCACATTTCTTCTGATTCCAGAGCCTGGAGATCTATACACACTGAGCTCTTGTCCCCACGTCCTGACTCAGGGCCTCATTTTGAGAAGCATGACCCCAAGAACACCCTCATCTGATGGAATCAATGAGTTTCTGGCTCCAAGAAGTTTGGGGACAGGCCTGGGAGTAGGGCACCTAGCATGGGAGCTCACCTCATGAAGTTCCAGTAGCTTTGGGACCTTAAGCAGGCTGGCAAGAATTGCCATCACGGAAATGTGATATATATACACACATATGGAATATTTTTCAGCCATAAAAGTGGACAAAGTTATATAGTTCACAGAAAAGGAAGATTATTGGAGATAATCACATTAAGTGAATTAAGTCTGCCTCAGAAAGACAAATTTCATGGTTTCTTTGATTTATGGTCGTTACACTCTTTACTGATACATTAAATCATATATTAACACATGACCTGAAAGTGTAAGTACCACTGTCTCAATTGATGAAAGAGAGAGGCGAGCCAAGGAAGCAGCCTGCTGGGCAGAGCCCAGCACCTGGCAGTGGAAGGCAGTTGGTGTGGCCATGCCTTAGGGAACACTAGCTCTGGCCTGTGCGGCTAGCCTGCATGAGTCGTGGATACCCCGCTGCAGATGGAGCTGTTGGAGGCTGGCACCCGGGAGAGCCTAGAGCCCCAGGGGACTCTCTGTGTATAGCACTAGCAGCTGGTTTCAGTTTTGTACACTGCCAGCCTCCGATTGTGGGAATGCCAGGGTGTTTCCTGTGAGGGAGGTCTGAGGGAAGAAAGGAGGGAGACAGAATTACCACCGAACCCTGAAGCTGGGAGGCGATGGCCACTGTGTACAGGACGACTTGAAATTAGCTTCTGTCTGCAAGAATCTGCATGGACAAGCCAGACCCTCAAGGACTTCCCTGCTGTCTCGTGCAGTGGCAGCAGCAGCAGCAGCAGCAGCAGCAGCAGCAGCAGCAGCAGCAGCGGCGGCAGAGGCGGCAGAAACAGCAGCAGCTTCTGCCGTCTCTTCATTATGTTTTATAAAAATAATTTGAACGGCAACAGTGCTCACCCTGATCCTGTGTCTTATTTCAGGAGCTTGGGGGCCTGAGGTCTAGCAGTATTCCACCATGCTGTCCCTCGCTTCTTTCTCCTCTCCTTCCTCTCCTCCTCCCTCTCTTTCTATCTCCCCTCCCCTCCTCCTCTCCCTCCTTCCTCTTCTTCCTCTGCTGGCTCCTATGCAGTCACGGATAGACAGGAATACGGAGAAACTCACAGCTAGGAGCTCTGCTTTGTGAGGACGGAGACGCCTTGCTCTCAAGTACAAGGCTATACAATACACTCCACTTGTTAAGTCACTTAGAGCAGCAGGGCCCATGCGGGTCCTGGGCCAAATGCCACAGCCAGAGTCAGCTTTTGAACTTGGCTTCAAAAGGCATATCACTGCAGGAAGACCTACCCCATGGAAGCCCATATCAGAGAGAGTCAGGAGAAGCCACGGGGCTGGGGACAGGGAGAGGGGCCAAGTCATCAGCAGACCTGAAGGGAATCGACATAGCCAATCACGGAGTCCTCCTGTTGCCCCTTGTCTGCGGGTGAGCCAAGCCCTGTTCTCAGCTTCTAAGTACTGAGGCCCTCAGTAGAGGATGGACATCTCTAAGCCCTGCCTCCACTCCAGTACTTCTCAGTGTAGTGGTACAGTCCTACACCCTCAGTCCTTACAAGGCAGAAGCAGGAAGATCCTGAGTTCAAGGGCAGCTTGGGTTACATAGTGGGCTTTATCTCAAAAAAAAAAAAAAAAAAAAAAAACCTACAAACCAAACCTAAAGCAAGCAAGTTGACAAAATACTAAGTGACAAAATACAGAAACGGCCACCATCTCTGACTGCAGGCAAGTCCCACGGCACCCACCTCCCGTGCTGCCTCAGCAGCCATCCAGCTAACAGCTCCTTGGAAGTTCTGTGATTGACGCCCGAGTTAACACAACACTGGCAGCTGATGCAATGGTCTCCAGCACGCATGAAACACAACACTTTAAAGATAGTCAGCATGGAGACACACATGTAACAAAGAGACCCTCTCATAGCTGAAAAGGGTTCAGAGTGTTGAGCCCAGCACTTTTGGTTTCCATCCAAATTCTGAGTCCTTTTAAGCTGCATGTCTGGGCTAGCCAGCCAATAGCCCGCTCGGCGGTTTCCTCATCCATCAGAGGGGAACATGCCGTCCCCCTGGCGCTGATTAGAGGGTCAGTGATTTACTAGGGATAAAGGGGCTTTGTGTTCATGAAACACAAGGAAATGGGAACTGTTCTTAGGACCTTGTGTATAATGGAGATCGTAGGGGATTTAAAAGAAATCACCCTGCCTTTGTCTCTGGGTTTAACATTCATTCCCCTAGGTATATATAAGATATCATAATGGAAATTAACGCTCTCTCTTTGCCTACCCGCCCCTCCTCTGTGTCTCCCCCCCACCTCTCTCTCTCTCTCTCTCTCTCTCTCTCTCTCTCTCTCTCTCGGGAAAGGGGGAGCCACAGCACATTAAGGAATTCTAAGGACAACCCTAAGTGTCAATCTGCACCTTACAGCTTTTATTTATTTTTATTTATTTTTGAGATCTGTCTTCTCATGGTTTGACACTGTTTACATCAGGCTAGCCAGCCCCCCGAGTTCCCCGAGAGTCTCCAGCCTCTGCTTACCAACCTTGTTGCTAGGGCAGTGCTATTACAGACAAATGCTACTATTTTTAGCTTTATGTAGGTTCAGGGGGTTCTAACTCAAACCCTCATGCTCATGTGGCAAATGCTTCATCTCCTGAGCACGTTCCCTGTCCCTTCTGCCACTTTTCAAACTTCCGTGTACTGGAATGCTTTGGATTGCTCGGGACGGTTTGATACAACATTCTAGGTGTCAGCTGCATTCCCACAACAGACTCAAGAAACAGCAGCTACGTGAGACTTGAGAAGCTTACGTTGAGAAAAAAGCATCACGCATTAAAGGACATTAAAAAGGGGACAGGGACAGTGGAGATAGCCGGCTAGTCTGAGTGTGCATACAAGGGGGACCCACAAGCAAAATCGTATAGTTTGGGCAGATGCTACACTGCCTGGCCACTAGCTGACACTGTGTCTCCATAGAAACACAAGAGAGCAGGCATTTCCAGGCAACAAGGCCTCAGAAATGAACTCTGCCATATGTGAGTAAGCCCCACTCCCACTCAGCCCGCACACCTGGGACACAGAATTGAGCAGCCGTCTTCAAAGAAAGTTCTTGGTAAATGCACTACCGGTTTTGCAGCCTCTGTCCTCAGCCCAAACCACCAGAGAGAATGTTTTCCTAGAAGTGCCCTGTGTTGCCAGTCAGTGGCCTCACTCTCTGAGAGTCCTTGGAGCCGAGCAAAGAAGCGCCACATCTCAGCAGGAGGAAGAATGGAGGTTTGGAAGAGGCAAGGCCAGCATTGCTTACCTGGAACCGTTCACCTGGCTAGGGTTGCACTCCATCTTGATGGTGACCCTGGCTGGGGGTTGCGACAGCCAGTCCTGCTGAGGGACTCGAGGACTCATCTTGGATGACTGACCATAGTCACTGGACGAGGATGCAGTCATCTCTGTCTTAGCCAGGTGTGGTGTTCCGTAGGCACACTCGAATAGCGACTGGTCCTCACTCACAACTGATAAGGCCTCCTGGATGACGAAGAAACAGAAAGGGAGAATTCACAACATCCCAAAGGACATGGTGTCGCAGAACCGTTCCCAACATTTAAGAGACCATATTTTACAGTTTCAATGGCCTGCCTTCCTACTTTCTACTTAAGAAAGTAGAAAACAAAATACCTTTGTTTCTTCGCTGCACACTGTAAAAGTTGGAGCGGCCCAGCCTAGAAGTGCTTAGCTGCAGTTCTAAAGCATCCTAGCCTTGACTGTGCAGGGCAGACAGTACCAACTTCAATCGCAACACAGGAACTTGAATTTCAAAGGTCTTAGAAGACCTCCAATTGCATCTGTCATTATTTGACAAATGCAATCTATAATTCAAGCAGACAGAATGGTCACAAAGATTAGGAAAAGAACTGTGAAGCTGACACCTAGGCATCTGGTGGAACCCCATGTTCCAGGAGACTCTGAGAAACAGGTCCTCAAAAGAGTAAAGGGAGACGCGACACCAAAGGACAGACAGACAGAGATACGGCTTTTTCCACTCTGCGTTATTAGTTAAATAGGGTTTCAAACAATGCTTCCATGATGGTGAACATCTGGATGGTAAATGAAGCAAAAAATAAAAAAGCTGTGAATTACCCAGATGCCTCTGTATACCATGATGTTTGAATGCTCAGGATCCGTAAAGAGCTAGCTGGTGTTTGCTCACTCTATGTCCTCCAATAGCTTCATTATTTTGTGAGAAGAATATAGAAACTTGTCCCAATGGGGGCATTTTTTTTTCTGTGCTTAAGCAAGGGATAAGCCTATGGTTGTGTTTAGAGTCTGTGAGCAAATCATCAAAGGCAGATTTTACATAGAAGTTTCAGCTGCTTGACTGATACATTATACGACTACTACATGCACTGTTTGAATGATACATTGTATGGCTACTACGTGCAGCTCGTATGAAACAATCCAACTTTCTAGAACAGGAGAAAAGCCCGTCCTTGAGACAACTCATGACTGTCTGTTTCTCTGTTCAGCCTGGTCATCAACAAACGAGAAAGCCCTGTGCGCCCGTGCACTTGTGTCTGTGCGTACACATGCAGAGGTCATGTTGATGGATGGTATCTTTCTAAATTGTCCTCCGTCTCATTTTGGGGGACATTAACTCTCCTGAACCTGGAGCTGGTTAGTTTGATCTCCTAGTGAGCACCATGAGTGCTCCGGTCTCGCCGCTCAATGCAGTGATTACAGGCGCATGCTGCCATGCCTGGGTTTTACTTGGGTGCTGAGAACCTAAATCCAGGTCTTCATTTTTCTATGAAAACCACTTTGGCCACTTATCCATCTCCCCAGCTCTGGATAATTTTTAAAATTGAACTTGGGACCCAGAGAGAAGGTGGGGGGAAAGTCACAGAATCCTTTCTCATCATGACCCAGAACTGTGAACGCTGAGCTAACGCGAATGAGCTGGCCACGGCAAGCCAAGGGTTTGTGGAGGTGCAAATGTGTGTCACTGTTTGCCGACTCCGGGTTCCACGGGGAAACACGCTCACACGGGCACTCCATTCTCACTCTCCAGGAAGACCTTACAGTGAGTAAGGCTGCTCATCATCAGCAGCAGGCTTCCCACAGCACCCTGATGAAAATGAAGTCCTCTCTCCCTCCCCAGACACATCAGAACCACGCCTTTTCATGAAGCACACCGCCCCCTCCACTCTTCCTTCTGTGGGCATTTCACCAGCTCATCTCATCCCCTGAGGACCAGGTATCTCCATGTTTCCCACAGGCACAGGCTTCTTTGGCTGACTGTGCTGAGCCAATGCAAAAGAAGTAGGCGCAGGAACTCTCTACCCACCTCTTAATGGGGTCGCAGGTATCTGTGCATACATACATACAAGTTCAGCCTTGGCTTCAGCCTGTTACAGCTCTGTGACACTTAGGGAAAGAGCATGGCTGGAGTTTCAACAGGAACTGAAGCACAGATTGTGTCAGCCAGAGAGCCAGAAGCAAGCACAAAGCAGGGTGGGCATCTTAACTAAGTGACACATCCAAATCCATTCACAGGTTGTGAAGTTGCAGCCCCAGAAGATGGTGCTGTTGGCAGCATCCTGAATGTCAGAGTATGGATTATCTTTCCTAATCTCATTGGATGTCTGAGTTAAGGACTTTAACCTCAGAGTTGTGGGGTCTAATAGGTGCCCCCAAAGTCCAATAAAGTCCAATAGATCTACTGAAGCTTATTTTTCTGGGCAGTTTCCCCTTCCTATGGTCATGTTGATGGTTTACACACTCAGAACAGAAACCAGGGCTGGTAGCTGCTCCTGCTCCTTGTCTGGCGTGAGGATTCAAGCAAGGTTTGTGGAGAATAACATGCTGTGTAATGTTAGCTTTGGCTCTTTGATGAGGAGACACAAGAATAAATATATGATTTATTATCAGAAACTGGCAAAAACAGGTTACACAGAAGGGACTGACTGAATGTAAAGTTGCAGTTTAAAAATTAGACATCTCGAAAAGCAACAAAAAATAGTAACTCTAAAATTTTATTCTCACAATTAAGTAAGATATTCTTGTAAACAAAGCCACGGGGAAAATAACGTGGTTCAGGATTGGTGGGGGAGGAGCAAACTATCCCAGCTAAAATGAGGCCTGAAAGTGTGTGTGTGCCTGGGAAGGAAGCGTCTCACATCTGGCAAAGGATAATTTCACACATGGTCTTCTAAAGAAAGAAATCAAAGCTAATTGAGATGGATTTAAGTGGGGGAAAGCCTTAAAATGTTAGTGATAAGATGGGCACATGTCCTTTCTTCCTCTCCAGACATTCTTCTGCAAGTCAGAGCTGCATAAAAATGAGGACTGAGATAGAATACAAACACTTGGCTGCTTTGTTCATGGGAGAGGAAGGATTCTCAAAAGATGGAAGGTTTGGGATAAATGCTTCAGAGCTGATAAAATGTGGACTCCATGCTAAACAGAAGTCCAAAGGTGCTCCCCAAATAACTCACACACACACACATGCATACATGAATATACACACCACACCATAACACACACGCATGCCCATACATGTATGTACACACATGCACACATGCATACACACACATCAACACACACCATAACACACACATGCACACAGACAACACATACACATGCACATACATGCACCACATACAATAATGCACACAGCACCCACACACCCACACACACCATACACAGACACATACAGAGTACATACACTCTTACATACACACATCGTACACACAGATACCCACGTGCACACCACACATACATATCCCCCACACACCACGGGGAGATAAAGCCGAGGGGTATGTTCTGAGTAATTGAACTTAGTTGCTAGATGACAAGCTGGTCACAGACCCAAACATTACTTTGTTCCCAGTTCAACTACATACAAAGGTCTCATCATTCCCCTTTCAAGTCAGAATAAGACAAAGCCCTGAGCATCCAGCAGCTTCCCTGCCTGCAGTCCGAGCACTTCAAACAGAGGAGAGCCTAGAGATTGATGGGAAGACACCAGGAAGGAGAACTGCGTGGGATCCAGGGCACGGGAGGTCCCTATCCTCCAGCCTGGGGAGAATTTTTTACCTTGGCTGTTCCTGCTTCCTGGATGCCCTCCTGTGTTGGCTGGCCACCTCGCCTGTCCACTGCCCTGCCTGCTACCTGCCCAGAGGTCTGTCTGCAGAGTATTAGATAGCATGAATATGGCTATTTCTTTGCAACCTTTAGTCAGTCCCAGGGCATGAAAGGGGCTGGGGTTGCTTTTTTAACCCAACATTCAAAACCAGTCAAAATCTGGCAGAAATGTGGCCTAATAATTTAATATTCCCGCCTCTGCATTGCTATAAAAAGGCGTGCACTGGAGATCAGCGTGTGCCAGCATGTGGGGGTGTTTGTTCTGTTGCTCCAGGAAAGTTGAGGTAGCCTGATGTGGCTAGTGGCTGCCTCCCAAGGCCATTTTTATGACCTTAAAATAAGCACACAAATTCTAACTAAGCTGCCCCCAGGGGGAAGAAAGGCTCGGCTGTGTGGACACACCAGTGTTTATTATCTCATTTGAGGACTGATAGTATCAACAAGAGGGCCATCTTTATTCTCCTGATCCTGGGATAGCAGTCAAGGAAGAGTTCAGAAGAGGGAAAGATCAGCTGGATTATGTTTTTATACTGAAGTATTAGAATTAGTAAGTTCAAGAAACTGAACCTGGATGCTAAAAATCTTCCAAAATAGTTCCTATTAAAAAGACAGAAGTCAAAACTTTACCCTTCACGTGTTTACTGATGTTTCCAGAAAAAGGCTTCCGGTTGATGTGAAGAGAGGAGCTGCATGAGGATGGACAAGACCCATGTCTGCATCCTCACAACACACATGAAAAGCCAGGTGCTATGGTTTACACGGCAGCTCTGGGCATGTGAGCATCCCTGGGGTTTGCTGACCAGTGACGCAAGTAAAGAAGACTCTTCACTGACTTCTGACCTCTACATACCACTCACACACACACACCACACACATGCACCACACACATGCACTACATACACATGTACCACAAACACCACATACACATGTATCACACATATGCATCACACATTCACACACACATACACACAGACACATGTACCACACACATGCACCACATACACACATTCCCCACACATTTCCCACATACACATGTACCACACACACATACCACACACACGTTTACTACATATACATGTACCACACACACGTACCATATACACACACATTCACTACACACAGATGCACCACACACACATGCACCACGTATACACATGCACCACACACACATGCACCACACACACATACATACACACGCACCACAGAGAGAAAAAGACAGACTGATTGGCACACAGATATACAGATTTCATGAACCCCAATATTAGAGTCATTTCACTGAAAGGACAGTCGGGGCCTCAGCGTGAATTTGTTTCTGATCTGCAATCCTCAAGGCCCACGGAAAGACTCCATAGTTCATGCAGAGAATCCACCACACTTAGGTTTCC